GCATCTCTAGGAAACTGAGCTCAAGGGCAAGTCTGGGCCTCATTCTTCTCTGGACCTCATTTTGAGATGAGGACAGGGCTTCACGTATGACGACTTTTCACATGTAGATGAAACCAAGGGCAGTGCAAGAGTTTGTTACCTGCTGTCGTAGGTTTTCTATTGCTGTGAAGAGACACGATAACCATAGCAACTCTTAAAAAGGAAAACATTCAATTGGGACTGGTTTACAGTTTCAGAGGCTTACTCCATTATTCTCATGGAAAGACCTGGCAGTATGCAGGAAGACATGATGCTGTAGAAGGAGCTGAGAATCTACATCTAGATCTGCAGACAGCAGAAAACACAGAGACACTAGACCTCTTGAGCTTCTGAGACCTCAAAGCAATCCCCAGTAACCCACTTCCTCTAACAAGGCCACACCTACTCCAACAATGACACACCTATTCCAACAAGGCCACACCTCCTAATAGTTCCCTTCCCTATGTGCCAGCCAAGCATTCAAACACATGAGTCTATGATGTCCATTCCTATTCAAACCACCACACCTGCTAAGCTTCCACCAACAGATGGTTTTAGGTGACCGTATAAGATTGAATTGTTAATAAGACAATGCAGATGGCCAGCCCCTGGACCCAATTTACTTGTCTAGCTTTTTCATCTTCAAAAATAATAAAGAGAAAAAAGGGAGGCCATACCAATACTTGTAATATTTTTGTATGATTAGTGCAAATTTCAGTTCATAATTGAAATACATGACTAATCTTAAATATATCTTTGAAATTAAAAATTTTAAGTATTTGTTATTTCATTGTTAAAAATTCTCTCTCTCTCTCTCTCTCTCTCTCTCTCTCTCTCTCTCTCTCTTTCTCTCGTGTGTGTGTGTGTGTGTGCACGCACATGTACAGATCAGAGAACAATGTGTCTTTTCTCTCTTTTCACTATGTGGGATCCAGGCATTGAACTCAGGTCGTCAAGCTCGACTGCAAATGCCTTTACAAGCTGCACCATCCTGTTAGCCCAATTTTATTTTTTAAAACTAGACAAGAGGTTATGAAAAGAAAAGTGTTCCATCAATGGAATGATTTAATAACTATCCATGTAGGAATTATATTTTCATTTAAATGTAGCTATCAGTTGCTTTGATATTACTGTTGATTACAATAAACTTTCTTCTCCTTTTGTAAAAACACCTTTAGCATAGTCGAAAAGCATCAAATACTTCTTGCACGCTGATCTTTATTTAAGAATTTCTATCAACTGTCATAATCATATATACAACATCCAATGAAAGACAGCATTTGCTGTGTTTATTTTTTCCTGGTCATTGCTGTTACTCATTTTGTAACTTGGTTGATATAGTTGTCATATAAAAGAAGACTGTTGAAAGGATTATCCTCTCTCAGTGACAAATAAGCTGTCTCCACACTGGAATCCCCATATTTGTCCTGTGAACATGGCCCTCAGCACACTGCCTCCTTTCTCAGGTCCCCACTTCCACATGTTGATGATTCTCAGGCATTCAACTTACAACATTCTGTGCATGGACAGTCAAGTGGGCGATGCCCATTTAAGATTCTTTAAACATGCCCTTAGGATTCCACAAGTCACCAGTGTACGTACACACACACACACACACACACACACAATTTTAAAATACCTTACATGTTTTTAAACATGTATGGTTATGGTTATTTTGGCTGCATGTATATCTGTATATCACCTGTGTGCCTGATACCAGTTGAGGATAAAAGAGACATGGAACTGTGGTTAGAAACCATTGTGAGCTGCCGTGTGGATGTTGGGAATTAGACCTGAGTCCCCTAGAAGAGTAGCCAATGCTGTTAACTGCTGAACCATCTCCCTAGCCACATAAAGACCACTTTTAGGAGTTATGGGTCTCTTTCTCCATTGTGTTCCTTGACAATGTGATTTTGTTTCACCTTGTGCATGGCTTTGGCACAAAATTCTTATTGCATTGATTTTCTAATTTGATATTTAAGGTAGAGAATGGGAGAGATCATGCTTGCAATGTGAGCAGCCATATTTGTGCTTATTAAAGCCATGCTTCCATCCTGTTGAATCTGCAGAGAATGTGTGGATTGTTGTGGTCTAATAGGATTGTAGGTTGGAAAAAAATAAAGGAATGATTGGCTCTGCCTATGTGCAGAGGGACTGGGCATTTTCATCTGTGTTTTGGCCACGTACCAACACTGCATGCCTTCTTTACCCATGTAAGTGTTGCAAGGAGATCATAGACCATTCAGTGAGATATCATAACCTTTCCATTTCTTGTCACCTGCTATAGAGACTCTTTAATTCTGCTTCCCCTCCCTTTTGTAAGCCTTTGAGTCTTCCTCACTTCTGCCTTGCATATTAGTCCTTCCTGTGTGCTGTCATATTGCTCTGGGCTGACCTATCTCTTTGCTGTTCTCTGAGATTGACTGACAGGTAGCCTTCAAATGCATATCTTCTTTTTGGCATTCAGCTGTCTCATAATTGTAGTCTGCTTTTCAGGGAAATGTGATCTGAGATATGACCCATCTTTTGGCATAAGTACTGAATACTTCTTCCAAGACTGGTCTTTAGAAATTAACCTACTGTCCTCCATGTACCCACTCCTCATAAGGGCGTAGCTCTAAGACTTTACAAATTGAAGATTGTAGTATTGGAAAGCCTCGAAATGCTAAAAACTGTTACATGGGGAAACCATTTTCCCCATGTAGGTAACTCAATAGTATTGATGAAGTAGAATGTTCTAGTAAAGCTAGAGTGATAAGTAGAGACAATAACAAAAGAGTTTTGAGATCTAGATCAGGCATTCAAATGCTGGCTTCCTTTCAACTGAGAAGTGGGTGTTGGGAAACTTGTCTCTGCTAAGGAGCGCATGAGGCATAGTTCTAACCTGTTCATCTTCCCCACCCTCTTCATTGAGTAAGACTTATGCACGAGAACTGGAGACGTGCTCTTTCCTCCTGGTCATAAAATCTCTGTGCTTGGAGCACAACATTCTCACATGCATCTTCAAAGGAGGGAGAACAAAAGTTAAAAGAAGAAAAAGAAAGAGAGAGAGGGAGAGTGGGGAGACACACACACACACATACAGAGAGAGAGAGAGAGAGAGAGAGAGAGAGAGAGAGAGAGAGAGAGA